TTACAGTACTACAACACTACTGCAGCATTACAGTACTACAGCATTACAGTACTACTACAGCATTACAGTTCTACAGCACTACTACAGCATTACAGTACTACAGCATTACAGTACTACAGCACTACTACAGCATTACAGTACTACTACAGCATTACAGTACTACAGCACTACTACAGCATTACAGTTCTACAGCATTACAGTACTACTACAGCATTACAGTACTACAGCACTACTACAGCATTACAGTACAACAGCATTACGAGAGCATTACAGTACTACTACAGCATTAGTTCTACAGCACTACTACAGCACTACAGCATTACAGTTCTACAGCACTACTACAGCATTACAGTACTACAGCATTACTACAGCATTACAGTACTACAGCACTACATACTGATGAGCTGGGAGAGGTTCAAGCTGGTGCTGTTTTCTGGAGATCATATTTGTCTCTGAAACTGTTTTTGAATACTTTATATGCCAGCAAATCTGAAAACACAAACAGCTGATGGCAGACAGGTCCGTAGTTGACACGCTGTCGAATTGCCTTTTGACAGAAACAAATCTGTGTCTATTGTCCTTGGTCTTGATGCTTGGCTCCACCATGTTGTTGGGTGTAGGATCTCTTCCTTACTGTACTGATGTGACATGTATATCTTTGTTGGTTTTTAACGCCGCACTCAACAATACCTGCCATATGATGGCGGTCTTTAAATAATTGAGTCTGGGCCAGACAATCCAGTAATTGACATCATGAGCATCGATTCATACAATTGGGATACGATGACATGCATCAACCAAGTCAGTGAGTCTGACCACCCGATCACGTTAGTCACCTCTTATGACAAGCACAGTCGCCTGTTATGGCAAGCATGGGTTGCCAAAGACCTATTCTGACCCGGATCTTCACGCGTCGACATGTATAGGTACAATGGTGCTGCTGCTCACAAAAACACATCTGGCTCAGCTTAAAAAAGATATTTGAAAGAGAAGATAATAATCACGGCTGTAGAAATTATTGGCAATTTACTCCCAAGATTGTATGTCAATGCACTGTACTGGAACAAATATATTGGAAATTTAAAAAGAATATGTATTTTTTCACCTCCTAAAATTGACAGTGATAAGGACTATTCAATCAGTTTCACTTTCAGTGACTGTCATAAAATCTAAATAATTTGAATTTAATCTCAAGACCTGCTCCCAATATTTAATTTGAATTTGTCATGTAGCTCTGAAAGAATGAATCACTCTGCCGGCGCTGTGAGGGTGGATGTCCCCCTCAGTGCTGGGGAGGGAGACAGGCATCCAGTCTGTGAAATGTGCTGGCTGCCTTCCCTGGCCTCCCCGCATGAGTAGCTCGGCCTGCCTGGCAGATGTGCACAAAGAGAATTGCTGATAAGAAAAGAATGGGGTTGGCAGGAAAACCAGTTTATGCTGGGCCCGGCTAGCTATTTCTAGTTGGTTTGGAAAGCATGTCAAAGAGGGGTATTATTCATGTCACACCATAATGGGGTCGTGACCTGCTTCAAGGGAGATAACTCATGCAGGGCTTAGGTGCAGATGCTCCGAACAATGGAGGATTTAAATGGGGGAGATATGTTTTGAAAAGGAATACATCATGGGAGTTTGGGGTGAATATGTGAAAAAATAAAAGTGTGTGGTCATTATGGGTGACATCTTGTGTGTCTAATTATCTGCCTATTGTTGAGACTGTGCTTATTTATCAGATCAGCATTGACCTAGTTTTGATGGGATTACTGATAAGGAATCCTTTGTCTAGAAAGAGACTCCCAGTGATGATAGGAAGTAATTATGGAAAGCTAATTTCATTATTTCCTAATTGAAAATGTTTACATTTTAATATTTCTGTTTGAAAATGTTGCAAAACGTTTGTACCAGATAATGTGTTAAAAATTAAGTATGAAAGTAAAGGGTTGCTGTCGGAGCCCAAGGTAGAAAAAGGGTGCAGAAGAATAATTTATCCTCCAAAACTGGCTCCCACAGTAGATTTGGCTTAGGTGAGATCAAGCGATATCTACATTGTGGATATCGCTGCAATAAAATTGCATCACAGTGCTTTGCAGACCATTGGATGATAAATAAAATCACACCCTCATGTCAATTTGATAAAAGTGGAAAAACTGAAGCTTACCGGGGAGTTTTTCCACTTTTATCAACGAGTGTTGATATATTTGATATCAAAAGACACTTGGGTGAGATTTTCTCTATACTACATCCCGAGAAACGAACAATAATTTTATTTGTACCTACAGAACATCAAGAGCAGTTATGGGCGTCTGTTATTTCCTCCATCAGTCATGACCACAATCCTCATGATCATTGATTAAATATCCAGGTTCTACAGTAATTATCGAAACGTACAGTACACTACACTATTGCATTACTTTACAGGACCTCATATGGCCTGCGAGAAGCCTTAGAATTAACCCTAACCCTAACCCTAACCCTAGACCCCCACTTTTTTTATGGCAAGGTTAAACCCTGCAACCCTAATGTCAATATTAAACATGAAAATCAAGGGGGCCCTATCACACCCCTAATGTCAAATTAAACATGAAAATCAAGGGGGCCTTTCACAACCCTAATGTCAAAATTAAACATGAAAATCAAGGGGGCCTTTCACAACCCTAATGTCAAAGTTAACATGAAATTCAAGGGGGCCTTTCACAACCCTAATGTAAAAATTAAACATGAAAATCAAGGGGGCCTGTCACAACCCTAATGTAAAAAATAAACATGAAAATCAAGGGGGCCTGTCACAACCCTAATGTCAAAATTATACATGAAAATCAAGGGGGCCTGTCACAACCCTAATGTCAAAATTAAACATGAAAATCAAGGGGGCCTGTCACAATCCTAATGTCAAAATTAAACATGAAAATCAAGGGGGCCTTTCACAACCCTAATGTCATCTTCAAGGGGGGTTAACTGACTACAAAAGTCCAGTTTGAATTGAATCCAATTGAATCACATTGACACATATTCAAGACATGTTAAACAAAAATGATGTGTGTGAGATTCTAGGAAATGTGTGTCTTACTACATCTAATGAATGAGTGCTGCCTCACTTTCATGACTGAACTCATTTGATTGGTTAATTAGACTTGATTTTACTTTGAACAAACACAGGTCATGTGTACCAATGTGGAACTGTAGAGTATGCTACTCAACATTTGCTAAGGATCACACCTTGGACTAAACGTCACTTTAAGACCAGAGTCTGTCAATGAAGATGGGAGTTATGCCAATAGTCTTTTAATCATATAATGCCAAGGGTAGACAGTTGACACCAACCTGAACAAATCATTATTGTGACACCACTACAATCTGGTGACAATTGTATAACATTTGTATGCCAGCAGTGTAACAATAATATAACAAGGGCATTGCCATGGTTACAGTAGTATAACATTTGTATGCCAGCAGTGGAACAATAATATAACAAGGGCATTGCCATGGTAACAGTAGTATAACATTTGTATGCCAGCAGTGTAACAATAATATAACAAGGGCATTGCCATGATTACAGTAGTATAACATTCGTATGCCAGCAGTGTAACAATAATATAACAAGGGCATTACCATGGTTACAGTAGTATAACATTTGTATGCCAGCAGTGTAACAATAATATAACAAGGGCATTGCCATGATTACAGTAGTATAACATTCGTATGCCAGCAGTGTAACAATAATATAACAAGGGTATTGCCATGGTTACAGTAGTATAACATTTGTATGCCAGCAGTGTAACAATAATATAACAAGGGCATTGCCATGGTAACAGTAGTATAACATTTGTATGCCAGCAGTGTAACAATAATATAACAAGGGCATTACCATGGTTACAGTGGTATAACATTTGTATGCCAGCAGTGTAACAATAATATAACAAGGGCATTGCCATGATTACAGTAGTATAACATTCGTATGCCAGCAGTGTAACAATAATATAACAAGGGCATTACCATGGTTACAGTAGTATAACATTTGTATGCCAGCAGTGTAACAATAATATAACAAGGGCATTGCCATGATTACAGTAGTATAACATTCGTATGCCAGCAGTGTAACAATAATATAACAAGGGTATTGCCATGGTTACAGTAGTATAACATTTGTATGCCAGCAGTGTAACAATAATATAACAAGGGCATTGCCATGGTAACAGTAGTATAACATTTGTATGCCAGCAGTGTAACAATAATATAACAAGGGTATTGCCATGGTTACAGTACTATAACATTCGTATGCCAGCAGTGGAACAATAATATAACAAGGGCATTGCCATGATTACAGTAGTATAACATTCGTATGCCAGCAGTGTAACAATAATATAACAAGGGTATTGCCATGGTTACAGTAGTATAACATTTGTATGCCAGCAGTGTAACAATAATATAACAAGGGCATTGCCATGGTAACAGTAGTATAACATTTGTATGCCAGCAGTGTAACAATAATATAACAAGGGTATTGCCATGGTTACAGTACTATAACATTCGTATGCCAGCAGTGGAACAATAATATAACAAGGGCATTGCCATGATTACAGTAGTATAACATTCGTATGCCAGCAGTGTAACAATAATATAACAAGGGTATTGCCATGGTTACAGTAGTATAACATTTGTATGCCAGCAGTGTAACAATAATATAACAAGGGCATTGCCATGGTTACAGTACTATAACATTCGTATGCCAGCAGTCTAACAATAATATAACAAGGGCATTGCCATGGTTACAGTAGTATAACATTTGTATACCAGCAGTGTAACAATATAACAAGGGTCTTGCCATGGTTACAGTGGTATAACATTTGTATACCAATAGTGTAACAATAATACAACTTTGTAGGTGATATATTAAATGGTAATCTTTAACAGTGCCAACCTTAGGGAAATAAGCATGGTAGAATTGATGTGTAATATTGAACATGTGTGATGTTTGAACTAATTCTTCCTTTATTCTTGTTAAGGATGCCTCTGTGAGTGAGTTAAGAGGGTACGCAACTTTGGTGAGCTGTGACGATGACAGTAACACTACAAACCCTGACAGCGTCCGACAAGGAGACGGTAAGTGGCATTCACCCTCCTCCAGTCTCAGGACTGTACACCATTAGTCCACAACAAGGGGTCCATCACACTGTTGGGGAGGGACCACATTGTCCACAACAAGGTGTCCATCACAGTGTTGGGGAGGGACCACATAGTCCACAACATGGGGTCCATCACAGTGTTGGGGAGGGACCACATAGTCCTCAACAAGGGGTCCATCACAGTGTTAGGGAGGGACCACATAGTCCACAACAAGGGGTCCATCACAGTGTTGGGGAGGGACCACATAGTCCACAACAAGGGGTCCATCACAGTGTTGGGGAGGGACCACATAGTCCACAACAAGGGGTCCATCACAGTGTTGGGGAGGGACCACATAGTCCACAACAAGGGGTCCATCACAGTGTTGGGGAGGGACCACATAGTCCACAACAAGGGGTCCATCACAGTGTTGGGGAGGGACCACATAGTCCACAACAAGGGGTCCATCACAGTGTTGGGGAGGGACCACATAGTCTACAACAAGGGGTCCATCACAGTGTTGGGGAGGGACCACATAGTCCACAACAAGGGGTCCATCACAGTGTTGGGGAGGGACCACATAGTCCACAACAAGGGGTCCATCACAGTGTTGGGGAGAGACCACATAGTCCACAACAAGGGGTCCATCACAGTGTTGGGGAGAGACCACATAGTCCACAACAAGGGGTCCATCACAGTGTTGGGGAGGGACCACATAGTCCACAACAAGGGGTCCATCAGAGTCTAGTGGTAGAGCGTCCTCCAGGGGAGCGAAAGGTCCGGTGTACGTCATATCAAAAGACGTTAAAAGATGGTACTTGTTGTTACCATGTCTGGTGTTTGGCTTGAAGGGGCTAAAACAAGGACTGTTTGGCTTGGGGTCAGTATGCTGTGTCTGAGTGGGGTATTCGTGTTAAACTGCGGTATGGTATCTCAGTGGGCTAGGACCATAAACCAGTATCAGTCTGGACTAGTACAAGCAGCATCACACACACACACACACAGATGTTGTACCTCATTTCACCTCACCTCAGAGACTTTGGGAGGGACAACATGCCTATATATGGGTATTGGTATTCTGAAAACATATCTGTTGTCAAAGATTGGTATTTCATTTCTTTGTATTCCATAAAATGTGCAAAATATCCATGTCAAGCTTTTGTATGTTGTCAAGTCACTTCTGTTGCTGGTTTCTATATGCACTCTGTTTGACAAGCCGGGTGAACTACGTAATGGCTGCCTGCGAAGGAGGGGGTGGGGGGAAGAATGCGGAGATTTATGTCACAATTTGTGTCAGTATGTGCCAAAACTTTCCCACTGACGCATATCTTTCAAAAATATTTTCACTCGATTTTAGTCTTGAAGATATTTGGTAAGTAAGCATATTAGCAGGAGGAAGTGTTGTGTCTTCTGGCAAGTGGTTTGAGGCAGCACACTCCGGATGTGCTCGTCGCAGGATCAGACAGTGGACGTGAGGGACTTCCTTCATTCTTCTTCTTCAGACATGGCTGCTCTTAGAATGTCATTATGCTGTAAACTGACTTGACAGCTAGACAAATTATTTTCTGTTATAAGTGAATGACAGGTTGGAGTGAAGTGTTGGTTGGGACTCTTATCATGGTGTCAGACTTTATCTGTGACAGTCACCTTCATGGGCATTTTAAGCTCCTTCAAATAGTTGATGATGTGAAGGTGAGAAGGGTTACCTCCCTTTAATTGTTTCTTTTCCCCCCCAAGACCTGTTGGTGCTTTCCTGTCACAACTACAGTGTTGTTGTTGTTGTTGTTGTTGAATTCTTCTTCTTCTTCTTCTTCTTCTTAGGACAGGGATTATCCTTGAATTTATCCTAGGAGAGAAAATCTTCCCTGGTCCAAAAGTAATGAGAAGTTTTGGACATATTTGGGGTTATTTTGTCTTCAAAGAGTTGAAACTGTATTTGTGACTTGAATTATGAGGTAACTTATGTGACTATAGTATATATATATTCTCGTGTACCCTATATTCGTAAACTTAATTTCAACCACGAATATACTTAGAAGTTAGAAGTTGACAGAGGACAAAGTAGACACAATATATGGATAACAACTTCTTTATTTACTGTAAATGTGACGTTTCAGTATGGATTCTTATACTTCTCTGGAGTTATTATTTACGAAGACAATTATAGATCGTTTTGTAGATGTGTTTATTTTGTTGGTTGAGACAATCTGCCATTATCAGATTTCTAGGCCTTCAACAATGTGTGTTTGAATTGCATTTGAAAATATTCAAAGTGATAAGACGGCACCTGTTGTAAATGGTGTTACTGATTGCTGGCAAAATAAATATCATTTACTTTGAAAAATGATATTTTATGAAACTTAGTGCTGTTGTTGATTTCACTGTGTATTTCTGCAGTTGGTGTGTAGCATGTCTTACAAAGTATTGTTGAATTTAATTAATGAATAGTGACAGTTCATATGTTTATTACATAAATGAATATTGTAACAGGTGCACTTAGCAACAATTCAGTCATTTGTGGCCCACAGAAGGCAGCAAGTTTGCCATTTGCAGAATCCAGGTGTTGAGGTGTAACCAGAATATGAATATACTGTTGACATTCACAATGTTAATGAGTTACATTTGAATGATTAAGTCCCATTTCTATGGACACATCTGGAAGCAAATGTACTGTAGCATATTCTGAACTCTAAATTTAACTTGCTGTTTGGCCATTAGAAATAGTAATTGCTAAAAACTTTTCCACCAGCAATGTGTCATCTAAAGGCTAAGTGTATATCATCCAAATACTATCATTTGTCATCTGAAATTTGTCTAATTTTATGGAGAAAGAGTTGTAACCATATCCATTTGAAAGGATTTAAGTGACAGAAAAAATATGGTGTAAAAACCTTGATGTTGTAGATCACCATCTTAAGTGGAATAAGATGTTCGTGCGCTACCAAATTCTTTATGTTGTAAAAACAAACACTTGTTATAGATGGACAGCTTTTGACAAAGAAATAAACTATCATGCACCTGTTAAGTCTGGTGGCATATCCCATCATGCACTGTCAACAGACAAGAAACTTAAATCAGAAACTTTAGATTTTGTTCATAAAGCTGTAGCATGGCACAACATGAGATGGTACAATGACACAATATAGACGTGAAAGCTGCCATATTTTCATGAGTACAGTGCGCACCCAAGTATAATGCGCACCCCCCTCCTCTATGGCCTTCAGTATTTTGGAAGTTTTTGTTTTGAATATTATGAGCAGAAAATAGTTACACCATACCCCTTCAGCGAATTCAGGTAAACGAACGGGTGATAAGAAACTTGGTCAGTACAAATTTGAAATTTGAGACAGTACTTAACCAGACATGTTGTTTACTGTTTAAATTGTATTGTTTGTTCTGCTAAGCATTGTTTTACATGCCAGGATAAAGATTAACATGTGTTTTTTCTCGTAAACAAAGCCGAAAACAGCAATCAGCTGTACACCCGTTTTCTTTGAATCTACCGGTGATTCGGTTAAAACTTACCCAATGATAGAGCTTTAAAGGATTTTGATTCGATCGCTTCACACATGGTTTCACCGAAATTAATTTATTAAGTATTAAAAGGAATTTTGAATAAAATTATTGAAATAAGTTACAAACATAAGTCCAGATATACAATGAACACTTTTATTACCAGACAGTGGAATTACAAGATTACATTGTATACTCCAGTATGGATATGTTGACATGGTATTTCCGGTGTTACGTGCTCACGGTAATGTCTTTGCGTTAAGGGGAAAAAAACATCAAAACTCATTATGGCGTGTATAATGCGCACCCCCTTCTACACAGCTGTGTTTTTTGGGAAAAAAGTGTGCACTATACTCAAGAAAATACGGTATTGCAGATCCAGCTGTGAAGTCATTTCTATAATGGACACTTGTCCTGACTGGGGCCTTATTTACCTGCATGAAGATCTACCCCTGTCGAAGACGTGTATATTTCATTTCCACTGATTTCATGTTATTTTTCACAAGAAACAGATAGAAATCATCTTCTCACCATAGCACAGAATATTGAAGTTTGTTTGTGATCTGTGTGCACATTGTGGCAATACAAGTTCCACCGCAGTCAGTGAGTGTGTGTGTTTCGACACATTCAATCAGTTGGCAGTGTGCGTGCATGGTGTGTGTGTGTGCTTGTGTGCCTGTCTGTGTGTGTGCGTGTGTGTGTGTGCCTGTGTGTGTGTGTGTGTGTGTGTGTGTGTGTGTGTGCCTGTCTGTCTGTGCCTGTGTGTTCCTGCCTGTGTGTTTATGTCTGTGTGTGTGTGCCTGTGCCTCTGTGTGTGTGTCTGTATGTCTGTGTGTGTGTGCCTGTGCCTCTGTGTGTGTGTCTGTATGTCTGTGTGTGTGTGCCTGTGCCTCTGTGTGTTTATGTCTGTGCGTGTGTGTGTGCCTGTGCCTCTGTGTGTGTGTCTGTATGTGCGTGTGTGTGTGCCTGTGTGGGAAATAATATGAATTTTCACTTGGCTGTCAAGAAAGCATGTGACCTATTGCAGGCCCCGAGTGTGGCGACTCTTTGTCTCCGCGTGTTATAATATGACACGGCATCAGCTGGTGGGCTGCGTGATAACACGATACAACCATGTTGCAGTTATGTGGAGATCAATATGTAGGTAGCGGCAAGCCTTTCACAGGACAGCCACACTCACTGCTGCTGCTGCCTCCATGTTTCTTGCATACAACCTACACATTTCTACGTGATCATGGATCAAGTCATTTGGGCTTGGGTTACATTTTAATTTAACATTGTTTCAAACGAGTGACATTCACACAATTTTTGGTTTATTTATAAAATAAAATCAATCTTTAGGTGATCTTCTTTCAGTTTAAATTGACATCAGTATTTTTTAAGGTAGCTATATGTGAATAAAGATAATTTCTTTATATTTTAACGTGGGCCCAAAATTTGAAGTTTAATATTTAAATAATTGCTTGAATACTATTTTGTAATGA